CAGCGAGCCTTCGGTGAGCGTGTGAGCGGCCATCCCAGCACCTGTGCCCACTCAGGGAACGTCAGCCCCACATTTTGTGAAAACCACGACTCCAAACCTTGGCCCCTACTCTGCCTTTTCGGGTGGATCTATTGAGGCTTAGATGGTGTTTAACCGACCCCAGCGGAGGTGGCATGTGGTGACCGACTGCCTTTTGGAGCACCTGCCCCCTTTGCAGTGTCCTTGCACGACAGCCAGCTCACTTTAACTGGACCCGTAACGAGGCTCTCCAAGAAAGGGGACAGTAAATTCCTGAGGGTAGCATCTGGATACACAGTTTGCTCCCCACAACGCCTGGCAGAGTGCTCAGCACATGGAATAGTAGATGCACGGAAAATGGTTGGTGAAGGAAGGAAGGGAAGAAGGAAGGAATGAACAACAAATGCGGGGAAATGCCAGAGCTTCACAAATGATTGTATGTGGCAATGAAGAAAGTAGCAAGGAAATGACAATCTGTGGAGAGTGTGGTTAGGCAGAATAACAGCTCCCTCGAAGATGCCCACGTTCTAATCCTCATGACTGTGTTGCTCTACGTGGCAAAAGGGACCGGCACACATGTAGAAAAGGTAAGGATCTGGAGGTGGGGAGGTGACCCTGGACCATCTGAGTGGCCCAGTGCAGTCACCAGGGTCTGTATACATGAAAGAGGGAGGCGGAGACCCTGAGAGGGAGATGTGTGGACAGAAGCAGACGTTGGAGAGATGGGAGTCCTGGCTTTGAAGATGGAGGAACACAGGCAGCCTCTAGAAGATGCTGGAAAAGGCCAGGAAACATTCTTCCCAGGAGCTTCCAGAAACAAACCCCACTGACAGCTGACTTCAGCCCCACCCCAGATCCATTTCAAACGTCTGGCTCCCACGGCTATGAGAGGAAACATTGTGTTGTTTCAGCCACTAAATTGGAGGTAGCCCGAGGGAACGAAATTTGGAAACCCTCGGGCTCAGTTCCTTTGAGGGTAAGAGAAGAAGCCATTACAAATCAAGGCACAGAAGGCTATGGACAGTCTTTACAATATGCTCCTAAAGTGATCCTGTTGTCTCTACACTGAAAATATATCCCGAACCTGCCTCCTTCCCTGTGTCCGCGCTCAGTCCAATGCATGCTGCGTGCCTCCCTCCTGTCACAGCTTCCTGCCTTAGCCACTCCGCAGAGCAGCCAGCCGGCCCACTGTCAGCATGGATTCCTCTGCTTCAAGCCTCCTCCACCCCTACAGCCCTTCCTGCTCTGCCCTTTGGCCTCTCCCACCTCACCCGTACTGTTGTCGTTGTCAACGAGATAATCAGAGACACACAGCCGCATTGTAAAGGAGTACTTTATCACACCACTTTATTACACCTGCGGGCTGGGGGGATCTCCCAAATCCCAACCCCCGAGCTTCCTTTGTTATTGGCTTATAATGGAACAAAAAACAGAAAAAACTACATTGGAAGAAAAACACCTACTTTCCTCCTGGTTCCGCTTAATTGGTGTTGGGGCTGATACAGACTTCTCCAGAGGAGGAGGGGGGTCTGTTGCAGGGATTGGGGCAATCATTAATCTCTTTTTTATGGTCCCTCCAGGTTTCCCAAGGCCATCATTAACCCCTTATCTTTATGGTTCCTCTGGGTGTCAGTCCCAGGTGTTTTAGAAAACTGCTCAGGTGTTTACGTGCAGGAATAACTGATCAGAATGGAGTTTGATTTTTTAAAATAGCCCAGTTCAATACCACGCTCCCCTCACTCAAGAGGCCTCTTTCTGAACAGGCAGTTCCTCCCGGCCCGTGGGCCTTGGCAAGGTCTGCCCCCTGCCTGGAGCCATTTCCCTGGATCACTGTGTGACTGGACCCTTCTTCTCCACAGGCATCTGTTTAAATGTCACCTCTTCTGAGACGCCTTCCCTAAGCCTGATCCAGAGTACTGGCCCAACCCTTCCGTGCTCTCTGGGCCAGTTTAATTTATTCAAGAACACTCATCACTCTCTGAAAATATCACTTGTTTATTATCTATTTCACCTCATTGGAAAATAGACATCATTTTTTTAAAACTTATCTTTATTGTTAAATGTATTACAGATGTTCCTCTTTTTCCCCTATTGCCCCCCTCCTCCCCGCTCCCGACCCTCTCCTGCCTTTCCCCACACTGTTGCCTGTGTCCACTGGTTATGCATATATGCATAGAAGTTCTTTGGTTTATTTCTTCCCACTCCCTCACCCCCCTTCCTTTTGAGGTTTGTTAGTCTAACAACCAATTTGTACTTCTTAATTCCTTCACCTTTTTCACCCATTCCCCCAACCCTCATCCCATCTGGCAACCAACAAGATGTTCTCTGTATCTATGAGAATGTTTCTGTTCTGCTTGTTCATTTTGTTTGTAGATTCAACTGTCGATAGATGTGTATTTATTGCCATTTTATTGTTCATGCTTTTGTTGTTGTTCTGCTTTTTCTTCAAGAAGACCCTTCAACATTTCATATAATAATGGTTTGGTGGTGATGAACTCCTTTAGCTTTTTCTAGTCTGGGAAACTCTTTATATGTCCATCGATTCGAAATGATAGCTTTGCAGGATAGAGTAATCTTGGTTGTAGTTTCTTGCTTTTCATCACTTTGAATATTTCTTGCCACTTCTTTCTGGCCTGCAAAGTTTCTTTTGAGAAATCAGCTGACAGTCTTAGGGAAACGCCCTTGTATGTAACTGTTTTTCTCTGGCTGCTTTTAAGATTCTCTCTTTGTCTTGAACCTTTTGCATTTTGATGATGATGTGTCTTGGTGTGGGCCTCTTTGGGTTCATCTTGTTTGGGATTCTCTGTGCTTTCTGGACTTGAACATCTGTTTCCTTCACCAAGTTAGGGAAGTTTTTTGTCATTATTGTTTCAAATAGATTTTCAATTTCTTGTTCTCTCTCTTCTTCTGGCACCCCATGATGAGAATGTTGGTATACTTGAAGTTGTCCCAGAGGCTCCTTATCCTAGCCTCATTTTTTTTGGATTCTTTTTTATTTTTGCTGTTCTGATTGGGTGTTTTTTGCTTCCTTATATTCCAAATTGATGGTATGCTTCTTGGCTTTACCTACTCTACTATTGAATCTCTATAAATTATTCTTTATTTCAATTAGTGCCTCCTTCATTTCTGACTGGTCCTTTTTTATGCTCTTGAGGCCCTCACTAAATTAATTGAGGTTCTCACTAAGTTCATTGAGCGTCCTTATAAGCAGTGTTTTGAACGCTGCATCTGTTAGATTGCTTATCTCCATTTCATTTAGTTCTTTTCCTGGAGTTGTGTTTTGTTCTTTCATTTGGGACATGTTTCTTCGTCTCTTCATTTTGACTGCCTCCCTGTGATTGTTTCTATGTATTAGGTAGAGTTGCTATGTCTCTTGGACTTCATAGGGTGGCCTGTAGGGTCCAGTGGTGCAGCCCCCCTGGTCTCCCAGCTGGGCCCTCGAGGTGCACCCGTAGTGTGGACTGTATACCCTTATGTTGTATTTGAGTTTGATTGCTGTTGGTGCGTCAATGGGAGGGATTTACTCAGGCTTATCAGCTGCAAGGACTGGCTGTGGCCACTATTCACCAACCTCTAGCTACCTTGGATAATCAGCTGTGCAGGGGCCCACTACACAGAGCAAGACTTACTTCAACAATGGACTGGTACCCACTGAGTCCATTCCTTGAGTGTGTCACTTGTGGAGGTGGTTGGGTGGTGGGTGCTTCACAGTGTTCTGAAGCTGTCCACTGGGTGTGCTGGCTCTGGGGCCAAGTCAGCCACTGCCTGAGTTCTACCGGGGGCTACCAGGCATAAACTACAAAGCAATCTGCAGATGGTTGCTTCTTGTGCTGGGCTTGGAGGTGCCCAGGGAAAGCCAAGTTGTGAACCAAAGCTGGCTGCTTCTAGTGCCAGGCCTGGGGCCACTTAATGAGAGGTATGGGGCTCACTGAGACCAGATGCTGCTTGTTTGAGAGAATTTAGGAAAATTTGAAGCAGGATCTAAGACAGGCCATTCCTATGATAAAGCAACTGGTAACAGCTTGGGTGGTTCTGAAAGCTGGGTTGGGCAGAAACTCAGGGAATCACCAGGGTGGGGCAAATAGTGTGAGCCAGGTTGCTGGAGTCCCAGATATGGCTGCCATCTGCCGGCCTTGTGGAGGAAGGGCTCACCAAAGGAACAAAGGCCCCTGACAGCACGTCTGTCCAGGAGAAAGCTGCCTCTCCAGCCCTTGCCCCAATGCCAAACAACTCAGTTCTTCACCATATGTCTCTGGTGCCTTTCGAGTTGCCTCCCCCATGCTGGAGTTCCAAGGGAGCAAGTCCAAGTAAGTCCCTGTGCAAGCCCTTTAAGAGGAGCTGCCTGGGGCTCCTGCAGCCTCAGCCTCCCTCAGCCTCAGTTCCTGCTGGTTTTTCCAGCCAGAAGTGAGGGGACTTCTCTTCCTGGCACTGGAACCCTGAGATGGTGGCCTGGTGTGGGACAGGGACCCCTCACTCCTCAGGGAGGAACTTCCCAGCCGAGGTGTCCTGATTTTTATCCGCCACGTGGGTGTAGAACCAGCCCATCCTCACCTTCGCTCCTCCTACCAGTCTTGGTGTGGTGGCTCCTTTAATTCCGTAGTTGTAGGACTTCCATTCAACTCAATTGGTTATAAATGATGGTTGTTCTGTAGTTTAGTTGTAATTTTGATGTGGTTGTGGGAGGATGCTATACCATGTTTACCTACATATCATCTTGACTGGAAGTCAGAAAATAGGCTTCTAAAGGCCTGGAGACCTCACCTGTCTTGTACCAGCTGTATCCTCAGTTCTTAGAACTGCCTGCCTCATTTATATTGATCAGTGATTTATTTTTACTGAACAATGAACGGATGAGTGGATGGATGAATTATTGGCTAATAGTGCTGAAGCTGGGCCAGAGATTAAGATCCTCACATAAGTGGGTCATTTCTACCCCTCAGCCTTCTGGGGGTACCTGATCAAGGAATTCACCCACACAATACCTGGATGGGCACTGGTGTGCAGGGATAGTGTGTGCACCTCACCTTCCAGTCCAACCGCCCAGGTACCTGGTGTCACATTCCTGGAAGAGAGGGAGATGCTTCATGAAACAGTCTGTCAGTGACAACTGATGGGACCAGAGATCAGGAGGCTCCAAGGGGCAGAGCAGTGACTGCTGGAGCCAGGCAGAAGGACGGCCAGGATAAGACAACATGGCATCAAGTGGGCAGTGACAGGAACAGCAAGTATGGCGGACGGGAGACAGCTGCATAGCAAGGAAGGGTGGGTGGTCCTGGAGCATGGATGAGGGGCTGGGAGCAGGTTAGAGTCCCAGACGGACCACTGTGGCTGCTAGGGAGCAGTTTGAGCTGTCATTGGGACTTCCTGAAAACAAAAAGGAGGGATTTGGAGGTTGGGCTCAGGTCATTTTGAGGTTGAGTCTGCATCACACCATTTTGTTCCTCTCTATCGACACTATTATTGTATTTAGTCCTATAATGAAGAATGGGATAGAAGAGGGCTCCAGAGTCAGGCAGGAAGCCTTTGGTAGTGGGGCTGGGTGTCGTGACCGAGTCTAGTCTGGCTTCTGATGTGGATGCTGTAGTTTTGAGAGTCAAGACTTTTTATCAGGAGGGCGGTGATCTCCTATTGCTTCGAGGAGAGGGTGCCTTAGAAACAACAAACCCTTCAATGTGGGACACGTCATAGGCCAGCTGTCTTCCATCTGAACACCCAAAGTCTTAAAAGTGATTATGTGTTTTTTCCCAAAAAGACAGGAAAGTTAACTATTTTAGAGTAAGAAATCCAGCCCTTTGAATCTCCTAGCTCTGCAGAGTGGTGGCTTGGGGCAACCTCAGTTTAATCCAAGTCACATTCAGGATGTTTGCCTTTGCTGGCAGCAACCCTGGAGGAATCATCTCTGCCTCACAAAAACCAGTTTCCTGGTATGAAGGAGGCTAATGCAGGCCAACTAGGCTCAGAGTCCCGCAGCTGGGAGGCTCTTCGAACATGTCTGCTGTGTTCTCGGAGAAGTCTCACAACTGATGTTCTCATACTGAGTTGAGCGGCAGGGCCTGTGGGTGATCAATCGTTTCTTTATTAATTGGGCACTTCCTATGTGCTGAGTAGTGTGCTAGATGCTTTGGAGTAGAAAAAGCACTGGACTGGGAGGTGGGGGACCTGGGTTCTATCCCTCTGCCTCCACCATTAGCTGCAGCACCACCTTGGCAATGCCCTTGAACCTATCTGTGCAAATGTTTCTTCATCTGTAAAATGAGAGGGGTGGACTCTGTACGTTTAAAATCTCCTCCAGTTCTAAAATTCTAGATTCTAAGAAGTAAAAAATATCATAATTAGATTTTTTTATTCCTCACCTGAGGATACTTTTCTATTTATCATCAAATAGAGTGGGAGAGAGGGAGGGAGGGAGGGAGGGAGGGAGGGAGGGAGGGAGGGAGAGAGAGAGAGACACGCAAAGAGAAACATCGATGTGATAGAGCCACATCGACTGGTTGCCTCCTGCATGACCCAGCCAGAGCCGGGGACGAACCGCAACCGAGGTACGTGCCCTTGACCGGAATTGATCCTTCAACACATTGGTCTGTGGGCCGACACTCTTACTGCTGAACCAAACCAGCCAGGGCATAACTAGATTTTTAAAAAATTGAAAATCATGTATTTGAAGTTATACTATAAAAAGAACTTCCAAATCATGAGGCTTAATTAATAAAATGTTCTATTCAGAAAAGACTTGCCACAGGAGTTAGGGTTTGTGTCATTCTAGGACCCCTGTCCCCATGGCTATCCTGCCCTTACCTTGGAAATTGTATTTCATGGATGATTCAGTCTTAGATCTCTGGATTCATTTCTAAAAAGCAAAAATCAATTGAAATTGCATTAAATAAGAAAGCAAAATACTTTGGCACATGACACTGAGACATTGAAGACTTGGCTGGGTTGGCCATAGTTTGATCCAGGAATTCAATGATGCCCCCAATGCTGGGCTTCTCTCCATCTCTCCTGTCTGCTCCTCTCCATGTTGACTTCGTTCTCAGGCTCCACATGGTGGTGAGACAGCTGCCAGGAGCTCCAGGCCCCCACCCCCATCTGGACTGAAGGCTGCCACTCAGGTCCTGGAATTCACTCTGATTAAATTAAGTTGGGAATGACTTAAAATAAGACAGCATCCATACCCAGTCTCCGTGGAGTTTGTAAAAACCTTTCCTTCCACTCTACCTACCTCAATTGATATGAATTGAAAACATCACCAAATATACTGCAAAAGCTTGATTGACAAAGACTCCCACCCCCAGGGTTACCAAGTTATATTAAGTTCTTAGGGAAAGTAGCCAAGGACTTAATATTTCCAGTCCAGCCCTGGCCAGTTTGGCTCAGCGGTTAGAGCGTCGGCCTGCGGTCCCGAGAGACCCGGGTTCGGTTCCCGCTAAGGGCACGTACCTCAGTTGCAGTTTGTCCCCAGCCCTGGTTGGGTTGTGTGGGTGGCAGCCACTCGATGTGTCCCTTTCACGTCGATGTTTCTCTCTCTCTCTCTCCCTTCCTCCCTCCCACTCTATCTGAATAAAATATCCAAAAATGTCCTCGGGTGAGGATAAAAAAAAAACACACACAACAACAACCACCAAAATATTTCCAGTCCAAGCCCTTGATTGTTTTAGCAAGGATGAATGTCCCTGGAAGTTTCCACCTTGTTGGAGGCGGGTGATTAGAGGACCTGGGAGTGATGTGTGCCTTTTAACCTAGCAAGGCCTTGATTGTTTGTACCTCTTGGCTTTGGCTCCCCTGGAAGCAGGGCCTGAGATAAGGATTTGGTACATGTTGTTTATCAGGCAGCGATCTCAGGAAACAGCAACTGGGGAGTAGGAAGTGAAACAAGGAAGATGTTAAAGGTTGAACTGTGCCCTCACCACCAGATTCATATGTTGAACTCCTAACTCCCGGTACCTCAAAATGTATCTTTATTTGGGAATAGGATATTGCACATGTAATTAGTTAAGTTAGAATGAGGTTATATGGGGTAGGGTGGACTCTAACCCAATACAACTGATGTCTTTATCGAAAGGGGAAATTTGGACACAGACATGCACACGGGTTGAACACCATGTGAACATGAAGGCAGAGATCTGAGTGGGTATTTCTATCAAAGATTTCAAATGAACCACCAGAACTGACATCTTGACCTTGGACTTTTAGCCTCCAGAATTATGAGACAACAAATCTCTGTCATTTAAGCCACTAATACAGAAGGGAGGGTGCCAATAAAGCATGTGTATGAAGCAAGTTACCAGTGTGACCAAATGGATCTTAACCCCAAATGGAGAACTCTGCAGACAGTGTAGCATTGTGCACCTCAAAATTACCCTGTCTGATACAACTCAGCAATAAAAAGACACCCACGTTAAAAATGGATAAGGATAGATATTTCTCCAAAGAATATATGCAAAAGATAAGTACAAGAAAAGATGTTTAACATCTGTCTCAATCTGTTTGAGCTGCTGTAACATAGACTGGGTGGCTTCAACAACAAACAATTATTTTTTGCAGTTCTAGAGGCAGGAAGACCAAAATCACAGTGCCAGCATGGTCAGGTTCTTGGAGAAGACCCTCTTCCTGGTTTACAGATGGCTGCCTTCTCATTGGAGGAAAGAGAGAGAGAGAGAAGGTTACTCTCTCTTCTAAACAGGACATTAACCCCACCGTGGGCTCCATCCTCATGGCCTAAATAACTCCTAAAATCTCACCTGCAAATACCATGACATTAGGGTTTCAACATACGGATTTGGGGGAATCACAGACATTCAGTCCATAGCAACATCATTAATCATTAGGGAAATGCAAATCAAAACCACAGTGAGATACCACTTCACCCCCACGGGGATGGCTAATAATAAAAAAGATGCACAGTAAAAGATGCATAGAGACGATGTGGTGAGTTGGAATCCACATTTATTGCTACGTGAAGAAGTTAATTCATTGTTAAAGTCTGAGTGTTCTGAGACTTACTGGAGAAGCTGGAGAATCAGGCTCCAACCGTGGGCTGGAGCAGGGCAAGCCACGCGGTCAGAGCCCAAGCCCGAGTCACAGCACTTGTTTCCCAGGCGAGCACCTTCAGCAGTGCAAGCTTGAAATGGTTAAGCTCTCACGCAGCAATTCCTAGACGGAGGCAGGATTAGGCAGGATTTTGAGCCCAGGGCTGCCTGAATCCAAAGTCCACACCCTTTCGCCTACAAGTGTGCAATTTCTTTGTAAGTAAAATGGATACACGATGGCAGAAAGGTAACCATGAATGATGATGCCACCAGGAACTTGGATGGTGTCCCTACGTGTCAGATACAGTTTCAGTGGTATTATTATTAAATGCAGCAATACTCTACACTCATTACTGTGTCTCAAACAACTAATGGCTGAGGTTGCCAAGCAATTACATTTGCCAAGCACAACTGGTGCACGGTGAGCAGGTTAATGATTTACATGCCTGAGACTCCTCAAAGCTTCAGCCCCTCCTCTGTTTGGTATAAACCTCCAGAATGAGGTATTCTGGTCTCATTCTGTCTGCTTCTGTTTCTATAGCCCTTCTTTCATCTTTTCAAAAACATTTAAAAAAAATTTTTTTTATTGATTTTTTTAGAGAGAAAAACATTGATGTGTGAGAGCTATGTCGATTGGCACGCCCCCTACCCAGGATCGAGGCCACAACCCTGGGCATGTGCCCTGACCGGGAATTGAACCAGGATCTCTCAGTCTATGGGATGATGCTCAATCCACTGGGCCACACCGGCCAGCCGAGCTTTTCAAAACCACGCAGCTGTCACAAAACTGTCCTTATTTCCAGTCACCAGTTAAAGGCCTTTCAATTCAGAGCTGCTCTGGCCCAGCAGCTCTTACACTTTTCGGTCTCAGGACTCCTTAAAGAGTCTTAAAAAGTATGGAGGATGCCGAAAAGCTTCTGTGACTATGGATTCTTTCTATCAATATTCAGAAATAATTAAAATTTTAAAACAAAACAATTTAAAAGAGCTATTTATTAATTAATTTTAAAATAACAAATGAAAGTTGACGGGTGACTGTGCGTAACATGTTTTTATGAAAAATACATTTTGAAAACAAAAATGTGTCCTCAGAGTAGCATCGTTTTACACGTTTAACAAATATCTTGCTTAATAGAAGAAGCAAGATCCTCAGATCTGCCCCCGCATTTATTCTCTGGCCACGTCACACTGGAAAACAGCACTGTGCACTGTGAGGAAAGAAGCATAAAAAGGCAATCACACCTTAGCATGATTACGAAAACACTTTGCCGTGCAGGTGTCCTGGAAGGGGACACCGGAGGTCCCAGGCCGTGGGATGAGCGCTGCTGCATCTTTGCTGCACTTCATTCCTTTGGGTAGATCCCTAGTGCTGCTTGGCATTGATTTTTCCCTCCTGTGTGAATAACTTCCTGTTACAGTTCTTGCAATGTGGGTCTGTTGGAAATGAATTCTTTCAGCTTTCGTATGGTTGAAAAATATTTTGTTTTGGGTTTTGAAAGACATCGGGGTGGTAGAAGTCTAGGTTGACAGTGTTTTATTTCAGTATTTAAAGGTGTGGCTCCAGTGTGTTCTCACTTGTATTTTTTTTAATTGGGAGATAATTGACATATGTGAACCCTAAGAAAGAAGACACCTACTAAGAAGGACTCCTGGTGACTGAATTTAAAAAAACAAAAACAGAGCCTAGCAGCCATTTTTGCATAAACTGCACTTCAGGGAACTGCCTGCCTGCACTGTGCTTCTGCCATCTGAGCAGCCCCTACAGAGAGGTTCTTGGAGTCCGATTTCCACCAACAGGACCGAGGCTTTCCTCATCCAACTGAAGCTGTGCCGCCGACCAGAATGGTTCTATTCTGACCAATCAGGACAGTGCTTTTTGGACTAATCAAACTTCCAGGATTTGGAGTCCTCATTTGCATGAGGGCAAACCAATCAGGGACCAGCGGTGGGGACTTTTGTCCATACAAGCCAGCTCCCCTCTGGCTCTGAGTGCATTTTCAGACCAGCGCACAGCAGAGCCGAGCAGCGCACAGCAGAGCCGAGCAGCGCACAGCAGAGCCGACCGGCGCACCGCAGAGCCGACCAGCAAAGAGCAGAGCCGACCGGCGCACTGCAGAGCCGACCGGCGCACCGCAGAGCCGACCGGCGCACCGCAGAGCCGACCGGCGCACCGCAGAGCCGACCGGCGCACCGCAGAGCCGACCAGCAAAGAGCAGAGCCGACCGGCGCACTGCAGAGCCGACCAGTGCACTGCAGAGCCGAGCAGCGCACAGCAGAGCGGAGCAGTGCACTGCAGAGCAGACCCGCAAGGAGCAGAGCCCAGCAGCACACTGCAGAGCAGACCCGCAAGGAGCAGAGCGGAGCTGTCCAGCTGGAGAGCCCCAGGGCTGCCTCTCAGCCACGATGTATCACCAATGAGCTGTTTTGCACTGAATAAAGTTTTCTTCTTTACTGCACCCCAAATTAGAGATTCCTGTAAACACTGAATTGGCACCAACTACCAATTGACACATACAATCTTATATTATCTTTAGGTGCCCAACATAATGACTCAATATTTGGGAGAGTATTTTTTAAAATTACGAAGAGAGCTGCCTTTTATCAGATACTTTTTTTCTGAATATATAGAAATGATGATGTGGTTTTTCTTTTTTTCCCTGTGAAAATAGTGAATTACATTGCTTTATTTTCAAATGACAAATCACCCTTGCATTTCTAGAATAACTCACCTTGCTTGTATGTGTATAACAATATATGTGGTTATTCTAGAAATGCAAAGGTCTGTCACTTTGAAAAATATATATACATACAAAATGCATAACTGGATTCGATTTGTTAATATTTTATTTAGGATTTTTGCATATACATTCATGGGAAAAATTAGTCTGTATTTTCCCTTTTCATGTTCTTGTCTGATTTTTATTTTAAGTTATGCTAGCCTCATAAAATTAGTTGGAAAATGTTTTTTCTTTTTCTATTTTCAGAAAGAATTTGTATAATACTGGTGCAAAAGTCCTCTTGTCTTTTTTGTTTGTTTGTTTATTTTGTTTCCTTAATCCTAACCTAAAAATATTTTTCCATTGATTTTTAGATAGAGTGGAAGGGGGCAGGGAGAGAAAAAAACATCGATGATAGAGAGACACATCGATTGGCTGCCTCCTGCAGGACCCTTTGGCTACCTCCTGAATGACCCCAACTGGGCCAGGATCGAAGCTGCAACCCAGGCAGATGCCCTTGATCAGGAATAGACCCTTCGACCCTTCAGTCCATGGGCCAAGGCTCTAATCACTGAGCCAAACTGGCCAGGGCAAAAGTCCCCTTAGTTTAAAAGGGGTTGCCTTACCCTGGTAGCAGGAGAGGGCACAGAATGCAGGCTTGGCTCATCTGATCATCTTCTGACCTAGACTGGTTCAAGTGATGGGAAAGTAGCCCAGGCCAGGCCGAGGAAGTACAAGCCAGAGACTCTTATGGGATATAGTAGAATATACACATTTTCTTTGGTACTGGAGAACTGGAGAGGAAAGTGTAACAAGATTGCCAGATACCGTTAATGATTGAAGCTAGGCGAAGAGACATGGGTTCATTACTCAACTTTTCCATATGTTTGAAAAATGTTCAATAAAGAAAAATGTAATACAAAAAAAACTGGTGTTATTTCATCCTTAAATATGTGAATTTCTATGAAGTCATCTAACCCTAGAGTTCTCTTTGTGGGAAAAAACTTTAATTGAATTAAAATTCTTTAAAAGACAGGCCACTATTCATATCTTTATTTTTTCTCATGTTCATTTTGATAAGTTGTGTTTTCCTAGAAATTTGTAATAAATAGACGTAATCTCCTGAGAGCGTGTACATCATGGGCCTCTGGTTGCTGGCCTTCTGCTTGGTCTGACTGAGGTTATATGACTGTATTCACTTTGTGATAATTCATGGGGCCATACACTTACGATTTGTGCACTTTTCTTTAACTATGTCACATTTTATTTAAAAATATTTGTTGTGCATGTGTGCATTTTAACATTAATTATCCAATTAAGCTGTTCTAGTAACAGGACAGTAAAAGGCAGCAGCATGCAGATCACACACAACATCAAAGCAAGCAAGCCACCTTCTCTAAATGCACAGTTCTTAGGCACTATGATCTGCAGGGGCACCTTACGTTGCTACAGGAGGGACTGAGTTTTATAGCAATCTGTTTGAAAAAAATTTCTATAATTACTTGTATCAAGAAAAAAAAAAGCCACCAGGAAGGAAATGGAATTGTTCTCAGCTGCATAAAACAATGTCTTGGGTTGCTTCCTCTTGGGTGGCAGGTGGGGTTGGGGTAAACAAAAGTGAGCATCCTGACGGATCTTATTTTAAGCAGGTTTAACTTAACTATGATAAACACAAGATCAATGGATATTGATTTGACATTTTCCCAGATGTGAAGGCTCTGGGCTGGTAGCCTCTCTCACAAACAGGAGCAAGGAGGTATGCATCCGTTCCCTTCCTCTCTACTCCAACCGTTGAATTTGTAAACTCCCGGAAGGCAATACCACCAGTTTTGGAAATCATCGTTGATGGTAAAAAGGACAAAGGAACCAGTGATGGCAGTTGTGAAATCCTTGCTTGTTGGGTAAGCGCTCTGTCATCTCGCCTCCCCAGTCTCTCCATGGTCTCTCTCAAAGCCCCACAGCACCAATGTTTTGTCTCGGTGGCACACAGGGTTCCACTTTGTAGCTGCCTTATTCCCGCCAGGCTGGGAGCCTTTGGGTGGCAGAGACTGTAGCTCCTGGGGCAGATGGATCTCCTGCTGTACCATGTTTTTTCTTGTGTGGGCTGAGGTGGCCGCTTGCTCCTTTCCTGGACTGTGAGCGGCTCAGGGGCAGGGGCCACTGATTCCTCATGTTTGTATTTTCATTGTTTGGCACATGGTAGAGACTCAGCAAGTGCTGGCTGAATGAAGAAAAGAAGGGATGGGGATCAAATCTCCCAGTTTCAAGATTCTTCAGATGACCTGCTTCCTGAGTGCTGCGGAAAACTGTAATTGCCTTTTGAAAAATCTATCTATAATCTATATTGTGAATCTAAATGGCATTCCTTTTGTCCTTACTGATCACCACATTCCTTTCGATATGTATCGGGTGGGGTGAAGAATGTGAGGTAGCAATGGGCCTGAAAACTTCAGCTTATTCCCAGGAGTTGGTTCCCCTGCTACAGGAAGTGATCTGTTTATAATTGTAGCTTGCATTGACGGAAACCTTAAAACAAACATTCCGTGCTCCCCTCCAATATTGTCAGTTATTAAGTCACTTTGGTTAAAGACAGAGGGAAGCACTAGACATCTTCAGAGTCCTTGCAATGTGCTGTTTTAGGAAATAAAATCTGCAATCCAGCCTCTGCAAAGAGACTAAGTCAGGGGTAGGACAGAAAGTGAGGGAAAAGGAAGTGTATAGGAATTTTCTTCTTTTATTAAAGATCAGTGAGAAAAAGTTATTGAGAATAAGAGTTTCACTTTCGTAAATCTTTCAGAGTATATGCAACTAAAGAATAGAGATGGAGACATGATGTCTTACTTCCTACAGCATCCAACAGCTCTTTAAGTTGTGAAGTGTGACGGGTGGATATGCGCTGTGTAAATGAAGACCAGTTTCCACCACTTACTGCTCTTTCCTCAGCTGTGGAAAAATTTGCTTGTCACAATCTTCACTGTGCCTTTGCAGTGCCAAGTGTCACAATCGTAAGAAGCTGAAGATGTATAGTTGAAGATATAGAAAAGTTAATCATAAAATCTTCCTCTTCTAACCCCACTTAGGTTGATTATCAAACATACTGTAATGTGAAATTTCTGTAACGCGCATTTGGCATATTCTTAGTCTACAGTTGACATCAATTTACATTTTGAAGCTTGAAGTTAATGAGCAGAAATACAATTTAATATAATAAGCTGGTCAATGATTTGTTCTTCTGGAAAATATTAATTCTGTGATTTCACAGAACATGTTCTTTTTCCAGATCATCAATTTTTGCATATTGCAAGTGCAAGGTACATATGGTATGATTCCATTTTATTTAATACCTTCCCCCCACTTCAGTGAATGCAGTCACACATGTAAGGGTTTAGAAGGCCATATATATATATATGAGTTTTAACAGAGGTTGTCTCTGAAAGGTAGGTTTGGAGGTTTTCTGTTTCTTTATTTTTGCTTTTAAGTATTTTTAGTTTTCTGTAGTAAGAAAAAAAATTTAAATGATTTGAAAACAATAAGAGGGGAGTTATGGTTAGAATACATAAATCTAAGAACAATTAGAAATAGTCAGAGAATTTGATGGTCACTCCAATAGCTACATCATTCTTCTTCCCTCTGCGTTTGCTCTGCAATTGTGCAAAGATGCAAATTTGATTGTGGCACCTCCCTGCTTTGAGTCAGTCCCCTCTAAAGGTACTCCAGTGTCACTGCTCACACTTACTACCCTGTGTAAGTCATCTTTCAGTTCCAAATGACAGACACCTCACTGAAAATAGCTCAAGTAAAAGTGAGGAATTTGTTTGCTTGTGTAACTGAAAGTCCAGTGTTGGCTGTAGGTAGGGCTGGGCGTTCAAAGATGGCATTAATGCCTTTCTTTCCTGGTTCTGTTTTTTTTTTTTTATCCTCACCCGAGGATATTCTTCCATTTTTTGTACAGATAAAGTGGGAGGGAGAGAGAGGAAGGGAGAGAGAGAGAGAGAAACATCGACGTGAAGGGACACATCGAGTGACTGCCACCCGCACGACCAACCAGGCCGGGGCCGGGGACAAACTGCAACCGAAGTATGTGCCCTTAGCGGGAACCGAACCCGGGTCTCTCCGGACCGCAGGCCGACGCTTTAACCACTGAGCCAAACTGGCCAGGGCCTGGTTCTGCTTTTTCATGTTGGTTTTCCTTCTAGACATGCTCTGCCCCTGTGAGGGAAACGTGGCTATTGGCATCTCCAGGCCCACAGCATCCAAGAACTCAAGATCCTGAGGAAGTGAGAGGACTTGGCTCGGTGTAGGTTGGGTCACGTGCTCTTCCTTGGGGCCAGTCACCCTAGAACGGAATGAGGACTTCTACAGAAGGGAAAGGGGTGCTCCCCAAAGGAAGAAATTCTAGGCAAACCATGACCTGCCACCTGTATCCCTCTCCAGGCTCATCTTTCTCTCCGTCCACTCTCCCTGCCTCTCTCTTTTGATTTTTGTGTGGTTCTGCCAAGACCTTTACTGGACGGCCCCTTTCAGAGCAGGGCACGTGCCACACAACTGAGGCCAGGCACTGGTCCAGCTCCACCACCTGAACGGAACTCTGAATTCTGGGCAAGACAGACTGCCCATGGTCAGCATGGCAGGTGGCGGCTCCTGCAGGGTCACTCCTCCAGGGGTGCACTCTTGAGCAGCTCCCCGATCACGGGCACGTGGGCCAGCAGCATGCAGTGGCTGCAGTAGCACTTCAGGTCCAGAGTGTCCAGGGCGTCCCCTTGGTGTACTCAGCCTGCAGCAGCCACACTCGTTGCCAACGGTTTTGCCACAGGGGAAGCAGGGCACAAGTATGATCACAGTGGCAGGACGGCAGCCAGCCAGGCCCGTGGGCTGTCGAACCACCAGCCACACTCCACAGTTCTCCACACTCATCTCTTTTGTAGTTGCACCTGAACTATTTCCAGTTCCAGGAACATGCCAGACTCACACCGTTGTCTCTTATTTTGCACGTCTTGCTAAGCATTAGCCCCAAAGAGCCTGCTTTGCCTAGGCCGCCTTATCCTTCAAAGTCTAGTTTGTGATACCTCTATGGGATGTCTTTCCTGATCCTCCCTACTGGGCTGGGGGTATTCATTTAAGTGATCCCATAAGATACTCTTGACATCAAACTACACTCTCTTGCAACTGTTTACCTAAGAACTTGTCTCTCCCTCACTAAGCTAGCTCTTTGAGTTCAGTGATTACACAGCGCATGGCATTAGTAACCGCCCCACAAATGTTGGTTGGATGACTGAGAGAACCTCAGTATGGAGATGATCTTACCCTGCTTTCTCCATTTATCAAGTTCACACAAAAAATCTTGAATTTTTGTTTAGGAGTAACATATAATCTATTTTAAATAAAACCTCACAGGACACATGTAATTTGCTAAATATGTGCCTATGAAGTAGACACATGAATATTAAAAACTAAATTGTGCTACGTTGAGTATGATTGGCCTTTGAATATGTCATAATCCTATTTGAAATATTGGTGAATCTAATTAGCTAGGTCCCAGGTTCTTAACCTGGAGTTCACAGACCTCTAAGGGACTTAAGGATAGAATTCAGAGGATATGTGAACTTGGGTGGGAAAAAATATTAATTAGACTCTAACTGAAATTTAGTATTTCCTTTGATTATAAATGTAGGCAACAACCCAGAGTTTATTAGACAGTAACTGTGCATTTCTCAATGATAGGTATTTTCATATTTCATTGTTAAATAGATCTCAATATATTGTTTATGCTGCTTCAATGTCATGGAAATTATTAAAGTCCCTGCTAGATCTGGTTATTAAATGAACTTATTAAATGAACTATTACCGTATCACACATTTACATACTTTTGATAACTTACACTTTAATATGACTGGTTTTCTTTATAATCCCCATGCATTTTATTTTCTGCACTTAACATTCTTCTAAGAAAGGGTCGGTGACACATAAAAGTTGAAGTGCTCTGGGCATTCACTTAAAAGTGTGGTCTGAGAACATAGCCCACCCGCCCTCTCTAATGTCATGCTGAGAGACAATGCCTTTTGGACAATCTTTTTTTTTTTGGTACGTGCCCTAATGGGAACGGAACCCGGGACTCTCTGGTCCACAGGCCGGCGCTCCAACTGCTGAACCAAACCGGCCAGGGCCTTTTGGATTATTTTAAAACTACAAATCTAAGAAAAGATGTCCTCTGTGACTGAAATCCTGTCTGGATGGGAAAGCCGTGGGATTTAAGTTCAGAGGGTCTCTGGTCTACGTTGGAAGAGTGGACCTACTCAGAAACTTCCAACTAAAGGCTGCAGACATTGGCTTAAGAACGTACCAAAGAAAACAAACACACGTTTGCATAGTTATCTGCATAGATATGCACTAGAGCAGGATTTGGGCGACTGAAACTCTTTAGGACACGCTCTGTAAGGTGGTGAGATCCTTGCTAACCAATTTTGGTGAGAAGGCCTGTCAGAGATAAAACTCCTCACTGGCATTCCTCTTCTTTGGTTTGTTGGTCTTGGTTCCGAAAAGAAACAGGTGGTTCTTACGTTAAGATACTTTGAGGAGACAGTCTACAAAGACGTGGGGTAGGGGGCCACGGGGGGCGCACAGCAGCTGCACCAACTCCATGCTAGTCGCCGCAGAGAACAGGAAGTGGCAACTCCAAGGAAAGCAGTGAAGGGAAGTTTGGAAGTGGTGACCTTTGACCACTGAAGCAACCCCACTGGGTGAGAGGCAAAATAGACACCTTGACCATCCTCAGATTTCCTTGGCCAAACCCATCCCGACATCAGGAAGCAAAGGAGCTGTGGTCCATTCATCAGCCTCATGGGACAGGCACAGAGTGGAGCTGGAGAGCTAGATACCCAGCAAAACCCCTACCATGGCACTTATCACACTATTTGATGGTCCGAAAGGGCAGAACCGTATTTTTTTTTAATCCTCCCCCGAGGATAGACTTCTATTTATCTTCAGATAGAGTGGGAGACAGAAAGAAACATCAATGTGAGACACATCGAATGGGTGCCTCCAGCACAACCTCTGACCAGGGCTGGTGACGAACTGCAACCAAGGTACGTGCCCTTGACCAGAATCGAACCTGCGACTCATTGGTCTGCAGGCCGACGTTCTAACCGCTGAGCCAAACTGGCCAGGGTCAGAACTGTGTGTGTTATTCATGGCTGTGCCTAGTAAAATCCTGGCACACGGTAAGTGCTCAGTATTACTGAACGAATGAACAAAGAATTGAAATATTGTTGAAACAGAATAAAAGCAAACTATCTACTACACACATCAAGGAACTAAGTATTTACTTTCAGAAAAGTAGATATTTAAAATCTTACAGAAATATTGGGGCATGATTGAGCAACACATTTTATTCTGTAGGTACGTCAGCTTTATCATGCCGTTGATCCTCATTATTTGTGTATTCCTTATTTGCACAATTGCCCAATCTTTAAAATGTGTGTGCTTTCACGGTCACGTGTAGAGTGGTGAAAAACGACTTGTCTGCTACATGTGTTCCCAAGTTGAGGATGACAGGGTGATGTGCCACTTTCTTGTTTCGGCTCTGATAATGTTAACAAGTGTCCTTTGCTCTCCTTAGTGCATTTTTGTGGGGGTTTTCTGGATGATTTTGTTGTTTCAAGTGGCCCTTCAATGTAGTGCTGAAGTGCTGTCTAGTAGTATTTCTAAGTGAAAGAAGGCTGTGATATGTCTTATGCAGAAAATACACGAATTAGATAAGCTTTGTTCAGGCATGAAGTTATTGTGCTGTTGACCATGAGTTCAATGTTAGTAAATCAGCAAAACAGAAAGATACCTCAGACAAGTTTACATATTGTTGGTTGATGGAAATGTGAACAGAGGCTCACAGAACAATAGTGGGGAAGTATTTAATCGCATTTTGGTGGTGACTTTACAGAGCCTAACTACCACGAATAATGACAATCAACTGTACTTGTTTTCCAGTTCCTAATAAAGATTCAAAAAGAGGAAATTCAATTTACAAAAGATAGATGATTTTTCTATAGTCAGCAGCTAATTAGTATTCATAATGTAAAACCAGACGGGGGGAAATCCATCACCATTGCATAATTTCAATGTGATATATTAAAACTTACTACTTTCTGAATAGTATTTGACTAAATCCAACTTATTTCAATTAAATTTGTCTAGAAGGCCATTATAGTACAAAAATTAAAGAAATCAATGGAGGGAAAAAGAAAAACAATCTACCTAGTACATTGACTTTAAGAACAGTCACAAATGCACAATTCTTATTATCTGGACTCAGCTGGTGAATTCAATCCTGCTTAGTTATGCCTATTTATATTGACTCCACAATAAATCCTACACGATCCAAAAGCTTCAAGCTTCTACTTTCAGTAGTATGGCAAACCTGAAGTTCCTTTTTTTAAAATCACAGTTTTATTGGCTAGTGTAGATAGTTCTCCATTCTCTGGCATAAGAATATTTAATATTAGTCAACAAACACAACCATCTACTCTGAGGGATATAATAGTGGCAGCCTTTTGATTTTTATATTTGTTTCAAGCACACAACCTTGAATAGTAAAAGACACGGAGCTGAAGTTTCTAACTCACTTTCTAACCAAAGTAAGAATGACATTCCCCTCAAGGGACTAGCAGGTATTTATAAAAATTTGTACTGACATTTTGTAAGAATGCACAAACATCAATAAGAAGCTGACTTTCCTGCCATGCAACAACTACCTTTAAGAGGAGATATAGTACATATATTATAAAGAGCTTAAGGATAAATATTATATGCCTGGGTATTATCATAGTAGTTTAAAGGTTGTCATTTTTATTTCTGAAAAACACTTTTGATATCACTACCATACCCCAAAATAGGTATTAATTCTACTGGTGGTTAAGCGCAGAAGCTATAATTATGCATCCCTTACTGTGGAAATAACACAGAATTACAAAAATGTGAGGGGAAAACACCCCTACACTTAAATCACTAAGTATTTGTTAGGAGAAAACTTTTAAAATGATTACAGCCTTGATAAAGTTGCACTAGCACTAAATAGCCACATTTCTGTCCACTTAAAATAAATACTATAAAGAAAAATAAAGCTATATGTAATAATATGTGTCAGTATACAAAAAGTGTATTTTTTTTTTTTGCAATTAGAAAAATTTAATATCTTTAGTCAAACACTTGGACAGGAAACAGCCTAAAGAAAAATAAAGACCCAAACACGCCACCTATTTCAACTACAAAGCAAAATGCTTTCACTATGACTAAAGGAAAATAATTTAATATTCATTATCAGTTTATAAGAGTATAACTCCAAGGAATGATTATGCTTATAAATAAATGCAAGACTTTTCCAAAGATTTGTAACTAAGATATGCAAGACATAAAATCGAACTGCAAAATTAGTTCAAAGCAATTACAGTCCAATGGTTCTCTTATGTTTTCTTTCACGTCCTTTATTTTAAATTGATGTTCTAGAACAGTGAGTTTTCTTTCATAGCAGTGCCTCCTGGGCTGATAATACAGTACCCCACTTCTGAATGTAGAGATTTAAAATAAATCAAAATGAACATTAAGGCATACAAACAGCTACTTTAAGTCTGTTCTTACTTAACAAGGATCGTTTTAACTCATTCAAACACATGGAATGTCGGCACAACACCCGAGGCTGCTGTAGAAAGATCACAGATGTTCTGTGGGTCATTGAAACTTCCATTTCTCTAAAAACATACCCTTTAATGGTCTTAATTTTAGAAATTTAAGTGTTAAGAAAATGTCTAAATAATAAGTAACAATTAAAATAAAATGTTTATTTGTAAATTATATACAGAATACATTTTACTTTACGACAAGGAGATGGGAAGAGCCATCACCTTCCAACAGCGCTGCTTGCTCT